CGTTTGTTTTTTCCCAGTATATTTGAGATTATTGCCTTTTTTGTAATGCTGTGCGCCTCAAGGATAGATGAACAATTAATTTCAGGAAGGCTGTATCCAATTGCTTATGTTTAAATCATTCAAAGTGGTGAGAGCTCACCACTTCCTTTGGGGGCGATGCAGATTACTGAAACGCCTTGTTCATATACACAGGGGAGGATTTCTGCTTTTACACAGTGAGCATGTTTTTGCTAGATATCCACATATTGAGCTTTTCTCTTTCTCAGTACTTTTTCCCTCTTAGAAAAGCTTGGATAAATAGTAAAACAAAATTGGAATCAAACAGCATTGGCTGAATTCATTACATATTTCTCAGCTTTCAACCCATGAGTTGCAAAGTGTTGCTTGCTGTTTTATACTCAAAGATGTTTGACATCGTCTTAACTGTCTCCTCTTGTGTCATTCTTCAGAAAAGCTTTTGATCCACTTTAAATGTCAGCTTGCCGTGTCATTACGAACATTCAAGCATGCCTTTAAATTGGACTCCTCACACTGTTCGCCTCTGCCATGTGTTAACAAGAAGGTGGCATTTACAGCCTTTCACATGGTTCATAAAATATGAAGATTTAAACAGCGCCACTGGACGGAATCCCAACTTTTATCCAATTATCCATCTGTCCGTTTGTTTACACAGCCTCAGAATCTGCGCTTTTAATAGCTCTCCACTATAATTTATGATGTGTCTGGGAGCAGAGGCTCCAATCTGACCTCTGGTCTGCCTCTCGTTTTATTCTAAAAGAAATGCTTCATCTTAACTGATCTGAAATTGAAACGCCACCTCGACGAAGTTTCGGATCTTGATCGAGAAAAAGTAAATATGATATTTTGAATTAATTCCAGTTTTATTTGAAATATTCCTTTGGTGTTAACATGCTAGTCTAGAGGTGACTTTGTTTAGCTGCCAGTGAACCAAGGTGGGTGATGTGCTGTGAGTAAATAAAGGAAAAGACGCTGTGGTGATGGGTGTAATGCCAGGAATAAATTCAGGCAGGGTAATCCTCAGACCTTGTCGCCAAATACGGGTGCATGTGAGGAACTGGTAATTGGTACAGGCAAACTGCGTTAAAGCCTGACAACAGATGCTGACGTACAGAATGTTTATAATCCTTATCTGAGAGCAATGCCTGCATGTGTAAGATAAATGCAAACAATAAGCCATGTAGGATACTCCTGCTGCAAATATGTTAAGCTAACAAGGCAAATGTGGAATTGACCATTTCCCTCACATTCACCTTTTCAATATTTAGTTTAGTGGTTTATATTGTCTATTGCGTTATTGCCTCGAAGCTTAATTTACAATGCTGATATTCTAATCCTGAATCAATATTCAAATGCTGCACAGCTGTTTTTCTAGTTTTTTTTTCTAGTTTTTTTATTTGTCTATTCATTTAAACCCAATATTTCTGTTCATTTCCAGATAAGGGTTAGGCTACACTTATATTGTTACTTTTGTTAAAGTATTTGTAGAATTATTTTCCAGTGCATTGTTCTATCTGACATTTCAAATAATTCCAGAGCATTGTGAAAAGTCAAAGTTTCAAGGTAAAATAGATAAACTCGTATCTAAAACTGCCAACATGTTTTTATATAACCACACCCCAAAGGAGGCACGCCCTGTTGAGTTATCTTTATTAAAGAAATTCAATAAATAAAATATTAACTCATGCAACCCTAGGAATCACTTTATTCACATGGAGGATTTCAACTTGATCAAATATGGCCGACAGACATTTGAAGCTTCAATGGAAAATGTCAAAAGAAGGTGTGAAATAAAATGAAAAATGGCATTCAGTACAAACCTTTTCTGTCATGAATTTATATCACCTGACAAAGGCTTTTTATGGCAGCTCTGTACCAATTTCAGGAGATACTGTTCTTTTTGGAAAAAAAGACGTGTCAATGATAACCGCAGCTCACTTATTCTGTTGTTATCACATCCTGTCATTTTCTGATAACTTCTAGCTGTAATCAGAGCTTTCATTTCCAGATAAATATGAACCAAATATATCACACTTTTGTTTTGACATGAAGGAAGGCGCTGGCTTTGTGACGTGCAACAACATTAACCTTTCTGGTGGTCACTTGTTAGCAGACCCTTCACGCGATAGCAGAGCGAACAGGTACAGGAGGCGTAGAGCGAGGGATCATTGTGCACTAGTTCATCGAAATACACTTTGCCGGCCGTTAATATACCTGGGCGAGTAAAGTCTATAAGTGTGGGAAACCCTGATTTTGCAGTATGAGTAATAGCATGCTTTTTGGATATTCTAACTCACAAAGCCAAGCTCGGTGGAGTGCTTGCCACCCGAAAATTGAAGGAGGTTAACCTTGAAGCTAACAACAGCTCAGGCTCACTTAAGGTGGGCTTTACTAGCTAAAGTGACAAGAATCTACTCTGAGCTGCTCTGCTTGATAACAGCTCTGTTGGTTTACAGAGCTGTAATGTCAACGAGTTGCTTTTGAAACAATGTTACCGAGTCACTCATTCTATCATCTAATGTTAAAGCAGAGGTTTGATTGTTAATGAATACATTTTGATATCATTTTTTGCAGGAAGAGATATCTTTTTCCCCTATTTTTTCAACATATAATTTATTTTAGGCTTTTGTTTCTTATGTCAACATCCACAAAGAGGAATGATGCTAAGTGACAGACGATACCTCAAACTTTACAGTTTTGATAGGATGTATATTGGCATCATAACCTGGTTAGAATGCTTTGGTCGAGTATCATGGATGTTTGGACAGACATGAACCTGGTCCTCTTAAACTGAAACAAATCATAACATAATGGCCACAATATGAGGTTATAACATGTCAGTAAACAAAACTTTTGGGAGATCTAATTCCCCTACTGTTTCAAAGTGAAGAGGTCATCAGGATGCCAAAGCTTTTAATTTAATTGTACACGCAGGCTGTTTATCTATGTGCTCCACACCTCAGGACATGAATATTCTGTTGATGTGCTCAAGTTCAAATGCAAACTTGGGTAAGAAGTTAATTGGAGTTCAGCCAGTATTGCGTGTGAATAGGAGGAGAGATGGGGGAGTTTTGGGTAGGTTCGGGACTATGGGAGTTGGAGTTCAGTGAGCATGTTGGTTGCAGTGCGCCATATGTGAGTCCAGCAGAGTGTTAGCGGAGGGGCCATAGCGAGGTAAAGTCTGCGAGGTGCAGCAGAGGAGACCGGACCGACCGACCCTGTGACCGAAAGCTGGAAAAAGAAATCCTCTGGAGCTGTGAGAGGTGGCTCTGTCTGCGCACAGGTGCACAGGAGCAGCAGTTTGTACTTCCCGAGGCAACTTGCTGTATAAAGGATCAAGGTTGCTGTACAACTTTAATGAATTAGTCTTCATCCTTTCTCACCTGATGCCGCTGGCTCTGTGTTGAACATCGTACATATTTGCATTTTACATGTATATTCTCACATAGAATTGAAACATCACACATGGCTAAGGCTTTATTAGCACTAGCTTTTTTTAACAGCTGCTAGGGCACATTTGTGTAGGGGAAAGGAAATGAGTACAGAAAATGAATGGTAAGCAAAGCACAGTGCTGGCTCAGTTATCATGCTAACCTGTATGGGTTATTGTGACTTAACTCAGCCTTTCATGCCTCTGACACCTGCTTCAGCACATCACTTGGTTTTGATGAGCTGCTCATTCAGTTTGTTTGTATATCATAATGCTAGCCTGACAGAGTGAGCCTTGGATATATCCGCCCTAAACTACAGACATGACAGGCGGATTATTGCAGGAAATCTAAGGTTGGCAGGTAGTGATCACAAAGCAATTTTGTTCCAATGTGTCCCTAATGATGTTTTGATCACCACCTGCAGCTGTCGGGGAACCAGCTGATAATTGGAAAGAGTTTGTAAGTTGCAGGAAATGAATCAAAACAACGTGAAACGATTGTCACACAGACAGAACCAAATACATTTGAGCAGGCAATCAGTACTTAGAAACATTCTTTCCTGCATTAATTACAAAATCTGTCTGTTCATTGTCATCTATTTTGTGGATATGTTTGTATATCGATACTAGGACTTTGTTTGGTAGGATATTATTGTGTCGGTTATCCTACTGTCTGTTATACTGTCTACCTTATCATCTGTCTGTGAACGCACCAGTCAAGATCATAGAGTGTTTAAAAAAAGTTGACGCAGTATGACGTCACCCATTGGTTTGTGGGCTACCGGTATTAAGCTCCAAGTTTGGCCAATACCATTACGTTTTTTTTGGAACCAGAATTAAAAGAAGTGGATCGAGCTAAGAAAAGTGATGACCTATACATTTTTAGGCGATTCAAATGTTACAACGCAGAAACCTGGACAACACTGTGGCAGCCACATGTCAATCATAAAGTTGTCCTACCATAAAGTTTGCCCTTCTTTATCGTATATTTTACTCAAAATGCAGCCGTAATTTACAAAATAAATATCCTGCTGTATTGAACAAGACTTGACATTTACTGAGTCTACTGAGGTAATACATCAAATTAGAAGTAGGGTCATTTTCTCATAGACTTCTATGAAATCTGTATTTTTTCAGTTGAGTCGTCCCCTGATCACTTTACCATTATAAAAGAGTGCTGGTTTAAAACACTATAGTTCCTTCAGGCCCAAACTAATTATGCTTGGTTAAAACAAATAAATGGAGTACATAACATTTTAAAGGATAAAGCAGATCTCTAATTAGATTCAAGAGACCATTGCTACAAAAATTACATATAGAAAATTATTCGAAACACCTTCACAGCTCTTAGCAAAACTTATTTTGATTGGTGACCCTACCTACAATATAAGCATAATTGCTGGTCCTCATGGCAAATTATTGTAAGACTTCAGGAACTCTTCAGCCTCATTTGGCTGTATCAGAGTACTATAGCATACTTCATACTCTTTCCTCTCGCTGTAGAGCAGCATGGCTTCTCACTCTCATTAACTGGCCTGGCCTTCTGTTGCAGGCTGGGATGATCCGCACCGACTCAGACGAGTATTTCATCGAGCCGCTCGAAAGAGGCACTCAGGAGCTGGAGGACCAGGGCCGGGTCCACGTGGTCTACCGCAGGTCGGCTCTGCTGCAGGCCCCCTCCTCAGACATCTCTGAGGACTACCAGATAAAAGGTAGGACCACAACCACGGTGTTTTACTGATACTGGGGTCTTACTTCTAGGACTGTTACGATTTCTAGGACAGTACTTATTATCAGTGGTGTAAAGCAACTAAGTAGATGTACTCAAGTACTGTACTTAAGTGCTACTTTGTACTTCTTCTCCACTATAATTAAGAGTTAAATCGTGTACTTTTACTCCAATACATTTATTTAATGCCTTTAGTTACTTCACAGATTTGGATTGATGATGTGAAATATAAACAACACTTACATAGGACTTTAGTTACACCTGAAGTTAATTCAAAATCATTAAAACTAGCTGCATCAGCTTTGATAACACTTTAATGCATCAATAATTATAATCAGAACATAATATATATTATTCTGAAATTGACTAATTTGCATAATGAGTACTTTACTTTTCTACTTTTACTTGACTAACATTTTGAATGCAGGACTTTAACTTGTAACAGAGTATTCGTACACGCTGGTACTACTACTTTTACTTAAGTACACGATATGAGTACTTCTCCCACATCTGCTTATTATGGGCTTATCTAATCTTGCTGATGAAGTGAACAGGTATAAAGGGTTCTCTGGTGGCAGGCTTAAACATCACGACCACATGGGAAAATATATAGTCTGACTTTATCAAACTATTCACAGAGGAAATAAAAATAACTTGACAGCAAACAATTTAATAAAAAACAACATATCAAGAATCGCTCAAGGTCCTGGTGCCCAGCTCACCCTAACCCACAACACACGGTAATGTAGGTCAATGTAGTGATATTGCCAAACCTATATACACTAAAGAAATGCCTGTAGGGCATATAAAGCCACACATTTGACAGGAAAGGAGTGCCAACACGTTTACAGGCTGCACACAGGAAAACAACAAGCGCTCCTCTTCTTCCACCCCCATAGGAAAAATAACAACTTCCTGGACTGTACTCTCTCGAGCCAGTTTCTGCTGCATGAACAACTACCTACTGCAAACTTCTAACTTTACAAAGCATGTTTATACACTGAGATTAATTGTTACAATGACCTGTGTTCGTGCCCTTACAGCAATCAAATGGAAAACTGGGCTTTTTATTGCTTTGTCATTGTATCTTCTTGAATATTATGAGAAAGTGTGAAATACTACCTGGAAGTTTGATAAAAAACATTTGTATGGCTTGATATGAGATTGGTAATGGGGACATCATCTCCCTGTGCTAACAACAGGCCAAAAAAGGCTTTTCTTTAAGCCTTTATTTATCTTGCTATCAAATAAAAAATGACCACTACCCTAAAGCAGATTGTGTGTCCACTAAAATGGTGTCAGTGAGGTGAATATGTCACCAGCTACTGGTTGCTTGAGGCAAAACAAAACAAAATGTAGCTATAGTCACTTTCAACAGATGATGAAAGATCATTTTTGACCTGTCTTGCGAAAAGGGTTGTGGGATCTGTATGAGAAAAACTGTCAACTTGTAGAATAAATGATAAGCTTTCTTGAAGCTTCCAACCATATCTCATGGTCCCTGAGACTAAAGACTGTGAGATGCATTTAAAAGCAAAACTTTGAAAATATGATATGGTATAGTTTCCTGCTGCTATTGTTATTACTGGTATTATAAACAGCTGACCCTGTTCGCCCTCTATTTATAGCAAACAAATGTCACTGTTGCTGCTGATGGAAACTTGCGATGTGCTCAGGAAATGCATCTTCCTGTGAATTGCTTTGTGTTTAGGATCAACAAACAATAAAGCTCCCATGAGTCACCCTTTCTGTTCTGTTTCATCCCTGTGCTAAAAGGAGGTATGCAAATGGAAATATAGTAATTTTATATTTTATTGATATTGTCGCAGGGCCAGCACACAATTTAAAGTCTCTACAGTTAGCTGGATGCACATTTGTATCTGTTGTCCACAATACATCAAATCTATCAGTGTGAGATAATGAATAGAATCATGATATTAAAATGATTCACATTATTGCTTTTCTTTCCAATTGAATTTGAATGATCGGGATTATAAATTGATATATAATCTAAAATCGTAATACTTATTTGTTTGTGAGCTGTGAAAATTGCTATACTGTAGGAATATATATTTACCTGACAGTTTTCCCGAAAGGTTTTTTGGGGTCCATTCCTGCAGTATTTGTTATCATACGCTATTTGTATCATGCATTAAGGAGACATGTCGATATCAATATCATTTTTATTTTTGGTTGCTAAAATTCATGCCTCAAAATTGCTCTCAGAATTTGAACAGCAAATGTCAGGGCTCCTGCTGGGTTGTTCATTATTGAATACATAATGTTATATATCATTCTTAAGATATGTGAGACCTGTCTGTGTGAGTCACGTTTCCCCCTCACCTCCCCTCACCCTCAACACTCCCATGTCTACTGCCTGCGCTATAATTTCCCGATGGTGGTCTAAACTGCTTCTAGAATGATGAGTTAAACTCCCTGAAGGGGACGGTGAATATTCTCCCCCCCCCACCTCCCCATTTGATGGTAATTCGTTTCAAATGGAGCTTAAATAAACCAGGTGATGTGGGACTAGCTCTGACCTCCTTCTATAAGTCGTGCCTGACTACATTTCTTGAATTTCCTTATAAACCCTAGAGATATTCAGTTTTTAATGTCCTGGATTTCCCCAGCATAGGTTTGTCACTTTAATTCTTTAACCAAATGTATTCACACGCTGATTCATTTCATAATGTATTTTTTTATTTATTGGCTATTGGCCACTTGGGGGTTCCATTCATACCAAGCATTCCTTCATAAGAAAATATTTCATAAAAGAATAAAGACATTTCACGTTGCCTTCTTTTGATTGATTATGATTATGTCACATGGGTGCAAGCTCTTAATCTGACCAACATAAGAAATATCTAACAGGAATTATTAAAATAAATAATAATAAATAAACAAGTAGCATGTGACAGTTGTGTGCTCTGAAATGCTTTTTAATCATTTATGGAAAATAAGATTCTCCGTGAATCTGCACTGATTGCAGTGGTCACGGAGGGTGGTAATGTATGTAAATGCATAGAAATGATTTTGCTGCAATCAAGAAGGCTCAACATAAAGAGGCTTCCGAGTGTCCTACTTGACAGGCAGGGGCCAATTAGCCTGAACCCATGGTCACATCCTCACATTGAGGTACACAATGAATGTGTTTCATCGTTCTCCTCCCCGCCTTCCCTCCTTGTAGATAAAGACAGACTCCCTGCTGTTTGTAGTGAAAATATTCAATACCAGTTATTTTGCTGTTAAAAAAAACTGCATAACCATAGTTTTTGCGTTTTTTTAGAAGCGAAAAATCAATAGATAATAACTTGAAAACAACATTTACAGAGAACAAATATTTTGGATCTCTACTATATTATTTGGCCAAGCCTGAAAACATAGTCAATTGATCTTCAAAAAATGGCATGTTAACTTTCCCTTGGAGAAGCCAAGATCTCTCCTTACTTATAATGTTGCCAGCTATGGAAAACACACTTTGAGCAGGTTTTGTGGAGGCCTGAACACAGAGGTAGATGTTAAAGAGGGAAAGTGTTTCTTCTTACTCCACCAACAGAGGGCACATTCTCAATGGCTGTGCCAGGACGGCTCACACCAGCTAATGCAGCAACGAAGACCGGAACAACAACACAATTTAAGCAAAAACAGGGCAAACAAATTACCTTTATGTACAGTCGGCTGACTATGGAGTTTGTTTATTCACCAGACTTTAGGTGCTGAGTTGCGGAGTTGGAGCTCCTGCCCCCCCCTCCCTGTGAGCCCAGTGTGCTCCGATTGGTCAGCTCGGCCACTCTGTTCTGATTAGTCAACCACCAGAGAGGCTCCGCCCATGTCTAACACAGTGCTTTTTTCGGTTCTAAGCGGAACATCAACAATGATATGTTATAGGAGCAAATAATTCAGGGAAGAAAGGCTACTAAGTATTTCCATCCAACTTTATTTTTAGAAATGTACAAAATGAACATGTGTAAATATACATATATACACTGTATATCATCCATTCCTCCCCTTATAGGCATTTTCGGCATCTTGCCTATCGCAGCTTTGTAAGCTGGTGCTGGGGCTTTTTAGGACGAGGCATCAGAGTGGTCATCCCGTCATGTGTTGTCCGCCGGATACGCCAGGAGTTCCTGACGAAATCAAATGCAAATCACAAAATATTAGAGAAACTTAGTTGTTTTAGGTTTGTCAGCTTGCCAGCTAGATTAATATGCTAACCTACGTTTGCTAGTTGTTCAGTGTAATATGCCAACCTACTATGAACAACATCTAGTGGTTCATGTTAGGCTAGCAAGAACATGTTTACAATTGCAATCTTATACGGGTAGTCTGCTACGTTCGGTCATTCATTGTAGCTGGCATAAAAATATATGGAAACGCTAGCAACTTAGTTAGCCCAGTTAGCACTGTGTCAATGGCTTAGTAGCCCGAAAAACGTTTAAAACACTTGCAGCTTCTCCTCCCCCTCTCTCTCTCTCTCTCTCTCTCTCTCTCTCTCTCTCTCTCTCTCTCTCTCTCTCTCAGGCTCTCTCTAATAAAGGGTTACATTGATCCTGGTAAGTGCTGTGTAAGATGATTTGCACTGTGCGGCAAAGCCATCAGCGCAGCCTCCCCTGTTTCTCTGCTGCGATCCTCTGCTGTTGATTTGATATCATACCTTGAACCCATCTAGTCTCATGTCATGTCCTGTGTGTAAATAATTTAGATTGATTACTCAGAATCCCTGTGGGTCGTGGCACAGGAGGAGCAATTCCACCCTTAACAAGTTCAGCTGTCAGACCTCTGAGCAAGGCTCACTTTGCCTTTAAGGAGCTGCTCTGTGGTCAGCTGTGTCCCTCAAATCCCATTGTTCCCTTTGAACACTTCAATGACTTTCACATGTGAAAGGGTTTGATCAACACATTTCTACAGACCTTACCTTCATGATTGATCATGTGCTGTAGACATGGCAGTCAGTGGTATACAGCCTTTATAATTGTTGCC